TTTTCTTCATACGCTTTCATACGAAATGGAAGTCCCCACAACAATATAAGAGATGTATTTATTCTATTTCATTTATGGTGATAAGGGAACTGGAAGTTGAATTTTCTCGCAATTCCATGAATAGACCTAACGCTTCCATTAAGCCTCACATTGTTATGCTTTCCCAAAAAGTATTCTCATCCAGCCTGGAGTAGAATGCAGTTACGACCTCGCCCAGGTCTTATCAACCCCCTAGAGGGACTCGAATCATTAAAGTTCAGAGTATAAGATCGACACCTTAATGACCACACCACATTGCCACGAGCGCACTTGGGCAACAGAGTAAATGTTAATTGCAAGGAAGGTCAGATATTTTCCAATATAACATTATGTGATGGGATTGTCGATGAAAACACTAGGTCTACTCATATAATTGCAGGAAAATTCAGCTGCCCGTATCACCCTAAACAAAACAAGATAAATACATATGATGTATGGTCAACTGGTAGTTTCGAAAGCCTAATTATAAATGAAAAGAATCTATACGCTTTCCAAAGGAGAGAGCGGCGATCCCATAGGAAATCCAAATGTCTGTTTCTAGATGCTGCCGCTGAATGTGGAGTGGATTATCCTTATTTTCAAGTTGATTTATCATGTTAACGACTCTCCTGAAACTTTATGCTTCCAGAATATCCTCTTTGCAGTCCAAGGTCACCAGTAAGGCCGTTGACACCATTTCCCTAGATATGTTTGTATACATGGACTGTACATCCAAATTTACCAATAATTATGTCCCTTCCAATGCCATGTTTTTGATCCTTTGAGAAAATTCATATAAATGTTTTACTGTGTTTGATAGCTTGTCGTTAAATTTATTGATTTTCGAGCATTAAATTTGCTAATTTGTGTGTTCATTTATACATGTTGTTGATTATCAGCCTTAATGTTACCTTTTTGTGTATCTTCGGTAATCTGTAGGTCGTTGGTGCTTACGCATCCTTTCTTATGACTGAATTTTTTCCATATGCATATCATTCAGCATGCCACGTAATGTTACATTAATCTTCATAATTGGGTTCTTTATTATGCGATACATTGTTCTGTCTTGCAGTATAAATTCCATCTTCTCGATATATTGTTTTCTATCCAGTATCATTGTCACTCTTCCCTTATCCTCCCAAATGACTAATTGTTCACTGATTTCTATGGTCTTGTGTGTTGGTTCATGACCTTAGCCAAAATGTCTTCTAGAAGGTCTTATTCCGATCTTCATACTGATCAGTAAGTGTCGTCAGCTTGGAAACTCCTTTAGCTGGGCGCGTTTTCTTTACCATACGTTGTCTTATACTCTCATACCTATACAATTTATTGTGGTGACATGATTTTTTGTCGGCCATACTCTGGAGCTTATTAAAGTCTTCCGGAGTCAGAATTCCTAGCCAGATCAAGCCGGAGCTATGACTTAATATCTATTAATAGTGTAAAAAGGTCAGATAATATGATTAACTTACAATTTTCTTCGATGTCCGGATAGATTCAGCGCATTATCTAACAAGCTTACCACTGTAGGTTTTGTCTTCTATTTTGGTCGCAGTTTCCTTTCGATGCATAGAAGTGATCCGACCTCTTTTTTGCAACTTGGTCGTATTGCCAAGGTTAAAACTCGTCCAAGTCTTATAGAAAACCGTTAGAAATAGAGGTAATCAAGGCATCGGCTTCATTTATCTCTTTGACGAGTTGTAGCTTGATGCAAAGAATAACGAGACTCGCTGACTATGCTAGATACATTGCTAGCAAAACATCAGGGAATGTATCAAGTCAGCGATTAAATGCTAGGAATTATTATAACGATTATAGCAAAGGATTTCGGACAAGGTGCGTCCAAATAGTTCATCATGACAACACACCCAAGGTGCAAAAACGAGATCAAACAACTTCTACACATCGTAAGGAGACTGCGACCAAATCAAAGGCCACAAAATCTTGGTCTTTATATTAACTAATATGAGCGAAACTCATCATAATTGTATATACTGTTAATTTCATTTAAAGTTTCCTATTCGGCCGCGATCTAAAACCATCTGAGGGAGGTTTATCGATCACCAAGATATATTTAAGCGTGTGATTCGTGAAAAAAATTATTCCCATTCAAACTAAGAGAACAAATGCGACGAGAACAAGGAGAACAAGATGAAGAGTATAAAGCTCTGGAGACGAGCACAAATGAGAAAACAGCAACAAGAGACCACGAAGATAACGAGGATGGAATACAGGAGACAAGAGAAACTCCCCTTGTCCTGATATTGGGAGAGAACTATCTTGGTCTAAGGCATATTTACTTGCTAAATTCAATATACTCCATATGGCCACTGCTTCAGTTATCTGTGGCGCTGGTTGCTGCAGCTAAACTGGAATGGTTCTGCTTAGTAGGCCTGAGTCTGGGTACAAATGACGCAGATGATCCTGAAACCTTTACAAAAGGTCTGGTGCTGCCCAGTCAGCTGCCCCTAAATCGCCGCCTTCATCTAATGTGGATATGGCTGTTTCTGTATTATCTACCAGCGTCGTTCGCATACCAATTACTTGTGCTGGACAACTTCCCACAAATGTAAGCACTGTATCATTCCCTGTTAAGCAAATGATCATGTCCGTCCTAAATGAATTATGACATGGAAATAATGTACTTAAAACAGGATGGGATTACAAGGAAACGCAAAAGGAAGACACAAATAACTTTCCTGTGCCTTAGAGGTAATAATAATGCTAATAGCCATGAAGGTCCTAAATTGACTGTCCCAAAAATGATTCTAGGAAAGGCAAATATTAGTGTCATGTTAGCTAATAACAAGATAAAGGAAAAGTACATAATGTGTATTAAGGCATGAGATGTATTCACCATATTTCATTTGAGGTGATGAAGGATTGGTAGTAGGATTTTCCCATAAAGATATGAGTAGAGCTAACGTTTTACATCGATTTTTACACAGCTTTGCTTGCCCAAAAATTGTTCTCATCCAAGTTGGACTGCAGTTTCGACCTCGCCTAGGCCTTATCAACACCCTCAGCGAAAGTCGAATCGTGACAGTGCAGCATTTGAGCTTGACACGTTAACCACTTAGATACATTGTCACGAAAGCCCTTGGGTCACGGAGCAGATATGCATTTCAAGAAGGGCCAGACCTTTTGCCATATCACATTCCTTGGTGGGATTGCCGATAAAGCAAGAATATTTTCCCTATAACAATCGACTACATAACTTATTTTTCGTAATTTAAATTCAATCTGGCTAAGATAAAAGTGACCAATTTATGGTCCTATGCCATCCAGCTTTGTACAAATAAAGGCTGCTATAGAAAAACATAAACTTTCACATGAATAATGACATTAATAGAGACAAAATATTAATTCACACTCTAAGACTAAAGTAAAACAAGGACGATTTTAGATACAAGCTAAAGGCAAAGATTAATTTGGTTTTTGAAGACTTTGCACTTTATTTGTAAACTGGAATTGATTACAAGACAGAAACTTTGGTAATTTTCATCACTTCATCTTGAGTAAATAAATATGGGGTATGGGAGACGGTTCCGAATCCCGCCGAAGATAATGATGAAAAATAAGCGAATTCAAAAGTTCAACCATTTTGTGTAATTATGAATTCTCAACATATCTTAGGTATCCTAACCATTAGGCATGCGAGTATCATTGTTCTAGTTCTTTAGTTTGCTTTGTTATGCCACTCAAAATGATGATAAATTATTGTTTAAATTCTAGTCTATCATGCAAAATAAAATAAATTTCAAAAAAGTAACATGTAATCGGTTTGCAATCACCTTCAAGGATTCGGTTTTTAATTATAATAAGTCAAACGAGAAAAGGTAGAAAAATGAGACATCTGAGAAGAAGATTTGTGTATATATATTTTTCGTTTCACAAGTAGGTCTTTCGAGTTCTTAGGAGTATATATTATATGCTTTCGCGCTCAAAAATTTTCTATTTTGGTCACAGAAAACCGAAGGTATTTGCAGAGGTATTGCTGATGCAGGAGGAGGAGTCAAAAGCTATTCTGGAGGATATTTACTGTCGACGAAGACCCCGACAACTACACGCTTTGATTGGACTCATTGCTCTAGCTGTGTATACACTAGCAATCGCGGTGATGTTATCCCGTAAGAAAGTATAGAACATAAGCCAGTTTGGGTCCATGGACTT